CAACTGCTGTAAATCCAATCCTGTTACCATCTAGCACCTTTTTAGTCAAATTTTTGTGCGAAATAACAAATTTCTATTTATCTTTAATAATATATAAAATACACCCCGTGTCAAATTTATAAACGTAGCACATATTGGCAAGTCTCAATATTTTATTTGTTTGACATTTAATAGTTAATTTCTTTTTACCAAATCCGTATAAAATTAAAATTCAAAGAATTTTCGTAAAAATTTCATCCTTTTTTATTAGATTTAAAATATTTTGAATATGTAGTTTTAGTCCCTTAAATTTTAGCTGATTTTTTTTTTTTTGCTGACAGTGTTATGCTCTTTTCCATACAAAGTATGTATGCTCGACGATTTCCTTTATATGGAAGAAAATGCACAGAAATGGAAAAAAAGTTCATCAAACTAGCATCTTATTATATTAAAATTGAATGTTCCACTGAACTGCATACTACATAAGAAATAATTAAAATTTCAAAACGGCGTATATACATACATAGTTTTTGTGATATTATAAACCTTTTTCTAAGCTTAACTTCTCGAAAATTCATCGGTTTGAGAGACTAGCCGCAAAATCTATCAAAAAATTTTTCAGCACAGCAGGACATGGTCCGATTACATCTAATCTAAAAAAATTAATCCTATAGAGCTTCATTTAGTACTCAATAAATTAATAATACTTACTTTGGTACGCAGTTTGGAATGTAGTTTAAAGATGTACCAGCTAAATCGATTTTTTTTAGTTTGAAGAATATGTATATGTGACCTGGTCTACGGAAAGGGGGCTTAGGTGTCAAAAAATCAATTTTCACTTTTTGGTTGATTCGGATGGAAGATGAGATGCTTTTTCACGTGGTGAAAAGCAGAAAATCTTAACTTGCTTAGAAGTGTTCTAAAAATGTAGAAACAGAAACAGTAAACGTCACTTCTTCAGTGTTACTTTTTTAAATGTTCCACACTAGCAACTTACACGATGAACTATAATAATATTCCGACCAACAACAACACTTACTGGACGTCCGGCGCGGAGAACAATTAACGAGATAATGAGAAACTGACAAAACCATGGTACAATAAAAACAGGTAGAAGCCAAATTGACATCAAACCTACAAAAGTCAAAGTTTTCGGGAGAGTAAAAATAAAAATGAGCGTGTGTAAGGAAAAATAAAAAATTTCATTTCGCTGGTTGACGTTTTTGAGTAAATTTGAAGTTTTGTTTCTATTTATTTATTTTTCTTTAGTTAAAATTTGTTAATTTGTATGTTGTTTTATGTTTTTAATTTATGAGTTGCAGTGTTGTTGGAGGGACTTTCCGGCATAAGGGTCATAGGAACAGCACTTGGCATCAAACGTGCCTTTCCTGTACCTCCCGGTGCATTTATGAAATCTGCTGCTTTAAAATGTTTAACGCACAGCCCCACAGCTGCTTTCGCAACGCTCTTTACGCGAAGGACATTGAGGCACGTTAAAAACAATCAGGTGTTGCATTTTAACACATACATTAAGTATAAACCGCACAACACTCCAAAATTCAAATGTTAATTAAAATTTGTTATTAACGAACATTCAAAAAAAAACAACGATATGACATTCAAAGCGTATCGAAATACAGGAAATAAAAGAAAAACAAGTTGAAGTTAAAAGGTTTGGTTCTCATGAGAGCAACGTCATTTTGGCTTCTACCTGTATTTATGTGCCTTGGACGAAACGAGTTGCTTACTTTTAACAGCTTTTTCACAGAAAACTAGTTTTCGCACGTAAGCTCCCTTTTCGTAGACCAGGTCATATATATATGTAAATATTTAGGTATAAAATGTTCAATCGGAACTTTTACGTAAAAAAACACAAGACTTAAAGATATTGGGCAAATATTAAGTTCTGAAAACTTTTATTATTAAAATTACATTTATATATATTTATATTGTTTTTTATTTTTATTATATGCAATAAACTACGATTTAAATTATCAAAAGGGAACAAATTTTTTGTTTTTTGTTTGCCACCCATGGTATTCCTGCGAATTTATAAACTCATTTAACACTAACTGTATCTATGCATAAGCATTTACATACATACTTTCTCCACTTCGTTCATATTCAAAATGATAAGTGCTTTTTTGCAAATGTTCTACATTGCCGTTTGTATAACTCCTCCGCATTGCCATCATAACAAAGCAAGAATTAGAAGAGGAGCAAAAGCAACAGGTGTTTGCATACATACATAAGAAGTTAATATTTCATTTTAATAGATAAAATTATATTAAATTTATGAAAAGTAACTAATTATACATATACTTCATTTCATCATAGGCAAAACAGCCACTGCCCCTTGTGTTTTCAACGTGGCTTCTACATCTACTGTGCTAGACCCTGCTAAAACGTCCAAACCAAACCAGAAAATAGAACTTTGGTTTAACGCTATCTTGATTAGAATATTTTTTATGTTATGATTTCATTTTGGCCGGACATGCTTTTTTATATAACGACGTTAAAACTGTTATACATTTGTAAAGCAAAAGGATATGATGTGAGTAATCGGTAGTTCTTTTCTTTTAGATTCAGGTTACGAATGAAATAATGTTAATATGAAATATGGGGATTATGAAGAAGGGGTGTGCTTCCGAGCAGTTCCAATCGATATACGCAGCCGAAATCAAAATTTATGCAACGTAATTATATTGGTTTTGATTATCTTTGTCGCGTTCCATATAATCGCGGTCTATAAGTGATTCAATGCGTTTTTTTAGGTCAGCAGGCTGAAACGAGTTTCAAAAGTTGATAAAATATTTGTCAATAAATTTAATGATCAAGAATTGTAAGTTTAAATGAGCGAACTAAATATTTTTAGTTTAGATAAATTAAGTTTTTACTAATCGCGTGCTCTCTTACCTTAACGGGAAATGTAAGTTGATTAAAAAGTTCACCGATGAGTAAATTATGACTAAGCGTTTTACGCATTTTCATTATTCTCACAATAGCTGCATCAATTTGATACTGTCGATCTTGGAATACGCGCTCTTCTGTAGCCTTCTGCTCTTCCGTCTGAAATCGAAAAAGAGATAAACAACACATAATGTGACAACATTTAACCACACTTTATGGCTTTGAAGCATACCGTTTCCTTCATTTGGATTTGATTAATTTTGATACGGAACAATTTGTTTGTAAATTCATTATTGTATTGGAACAAATCTTTGTTCTCCACTTCACGTCCCTTTGGTGTTTTAGAAATAACACGCGCACGACCACAGGCCAACGATTGTAATGTCCTGCGCAGTTCTCCATCCTTAATGGATAAAAAAAATCATTTGATTATGACACGAATATAACAGCGTACAAGCCACTTACTTCAATATTTGTTGCCGCAACAATATCTTCGAAACTCAATGCGTTTTTGTCATTGAACAGCAAGAGCACAAGCGCTTGAAATAATGAAACCATCAGCTCTTTCGGCCCCTATAAGTGCATTATTAGTACTACAGAAATATAAGAATCATTCCAGTACATACCGCATCGAACTGAGCTTTTAGTACACAATTGCCTAGTGTTGGCTGCCATTGCAGCTTCCGTCCGCTGTGTTTAGCTAAGTAAAACTTGTTAAACACTTGTTGGGGGTTAACGAGTTGTGGTGGCATTGTTACTTCTGTAAGCTGGTAGGTAGGCCAATATCCCATAGTAAGGATGCTCACAGTCAAATCCATGCTCGTTATTTCCCGATCCATGTTTGCGACATACTGCTTAAAAGCAATATTTATATCCCGACTCAATTCCATATCCTTGAACATGCCCTCCAACTTCGATGTGAACCCGCCACCACACTCTTGTTTTAACTTGGACAACATACTCTTTTCAGCATCCACAGACGCAGATTTTCCAACCAATAAACGCTTCGCCAAATCCTAAAAGTTACTTGTATAAAAAATTTTCCTTAATAAGCTTAAATTTTACCTTTTTATAGAATGCTTCAAACACGTCTTTTCCGTGAATAAAACGAAAGAGCACCATTATTTTATCGAGTATCTGCTCCAGTTCCTCTTCCGTGGCTTCCTTATTACCAGCCCTTAACTTCATATCAACATATTTGGCTGTAAGTAACATTGTTTGTATTAGCAATGAAAGAAAAGAAAGGGTGTGCTTTGCTAACCAATTAATTCAGCCGGCTTATTTGCTCGTTGATTTATGAAGAACTCGAAAGCCTCTCGCAGGGAATTCGTGAATTTTTCATTATGCTCGAAGCAGTTACGCACTATCACGTCCATTTTATCCTTGAAGTCCAGCAAGTCCTGAACCATACTTTTATCTTTCTCTGGGTCAATGACGATAGTGCGTCCCTTTTTCTGTAATATAATTATGAACAAAAAAAAACATTAACAGCGTTTCTACGTGAAATTTGGCTAATTTTAACCTTAATGTAGCCATTGAAATTTCCACACAGTTCGGCTGTGCCGTTTTTTGACCCTACTCAGAAGGCTGTATAACAGTGTGAGATCACTCAGTCTATTTTCTTCCAAGAGTGTGTCCAGACCTTTTTGTAAAATCTGTGTGAGGTGTTCGGCGAGTAGTTCTTTTTCTACAGTGTAAATCAAAGGATATCTAGATCAAAGATATCGTAATGTGTTAAATCAAGATTTTTTTTTTGTCGGAAAATATGCATTACTTAGTACTAGAGTCTAGATAATGTAATAGGCGTTCGTTCTCCTCAGCCAATCTTTTGTCCACATGCCTCAAATACTCGGGTACATCGAGTTCTTGCATTTTTCGCTGCCCTTCTGCCTGATATAGTTGCTTGGTTGCAATCAGGAATTTACTTTCGAACGCAATTTCATATATTTGCAAATCACATAACATTCGAACGAGGCTCTTAAGTAATCCCCTATCCACAGCGTCACCCGTACGCTCTTTTTCAATTAACATAAGTATGCCTTCCACAGTACGCTTTTGCACTTGGTCATTCATAGCTATATGAGTGCGAAAGAGATCCAATCCCATGTCCCTATTGAAATATTACAAACAAAATAGTTGTAGTTACAAGCATCTACAGAAGAAATTACTTTGCCGCTGTTGTCAATTACATACCATATAGAGTGCACAATAGGGTTTTGCAAAACATATGTTCGATCCAAATATAGAAATATACTGCGCATCATAATCATTTGCTGGCAAAACGACAACCACCAGCCGTTTATCTTTTTCAAAAAAATCTTTCGGGAAAGGAAATCTTATAGACAATTTTATTTTAAACAGTAAAATTTATATATTTACCAATTTATCCATAGTTCCGCCAGTAAATGACTCGACATTACGTTTTACATGAGCTTCTGTCAGTTCTTTAAGTTTTGCATACAACTGCGCATCCATTCTATGGCTGCACATATTTTCTACGGCTTGATACAGTTCTTCTAATGAGTACCTAATCGGTTTTGATAATTGAATTGCGACAACTGCTTCTTGCAATTTTTCGCATGTATGTTCCGAATAATTGTCCGGCAGTGTAGGTTTCACTAAAAAACACAAAATATATACATATATACATAAACCATTATTTGAACCCCATATAATAATTGGTTTAACTAACAACTTACCCTTGAAGTTTTTTATAACAATTTTTTTAACATCTCCCGGCTTCGAGGCATTATTCGCACCCATCTTATTGAAGTACGCTGAGGTAGTTGTGGCTGAACGATGATCGTTCATATGTGCCCCATCTAACATCGAAAAATTAGCACGCCTTTCTCCGTTAGTGTTATTACCTACGCCCAAATTGTTATTAGTATTATTCATGCTGAACGGCAGTTGTGAAGTTGACGTTGCTGATGGTTGATTTAAATTTTGTCCCAAGGCACAACGAGCCGATGTGGAGGGACTGTAAAAGTGGTTATCTGTTTGTTTCTTCAAACGATTGTTTGTGTAGTTCTCAGTGTCCTGTAGTTGGTCACCTGTGTCCATAGACTTGTATTTTTTAGCGGCGCTCATAGTTCGCTTTCCGCACTGCACCAGCGGCGCTTATGGTGACGGCGGCGTAATGCAGCCCTACTACCACTGCTGTTTTAATTCGATAAATTAAACAAAAAATAAACACTTTTACCTCACTCAGTCACTTGAGCAACTTTCGATTAACCAGGAGACACAATATAAAAATGGTAATGTATTACAAATAAACTATCGACGGAGATTACAACACCCAAGTCACTATGGATTGTGGTTGCTCCGAACTGTAGTGCTGAAAAGTTGCCTGGGTCACAATAATTTTATTTCTTTTGCTTCCGCATTGGCAAATTTTTCTTACCTTCGATCTAACTTTACGTTTCTTCTACTACTCTGACGTTCGCTAACTGATGGTGGCGCTTCAGCTGGATGCCTGACGGCTGTCGTACAGAGTACCTTTCTTGGGTTTCTTTACCAAAAAAAAAACGTGGTGTTTAATTTTATATTCCAGCTAACACTATCATAAA